TATTCTAGGTTATAGTTTAAATCCGTTGTTTCTTTGTTGACTTTCTGTCTTGATGACCTGTCTAGTGCCATCAGAGGAGTACCGAATCTCCCACTATTATTGTGTTGCTATCTATCTCATTTCTTAGGTCTATTAGTAATTATTTTATATATTTGGGAACTCAAGTGTTAAGTGCATATATATTTAGAGCTGTGATACTTTCCTGTTGGGACTACTCCTTGTATCATTACATAGTGTCCTTCTTTCCTTTAACTGTTGTTGCTTTGAAGTCTGCTTTTTTTCTGATATAAAAATACCTACTCCTACTTGCTTTTGGTTTCCATTTACATGAAATAGCATTTTCCACTCCCTTACCTTAAATTTATGTGAGTCCATGTGTGCCAGGTAACTCTATTGAAGGCCGCAGATACTTGGTTGGTACCTTTTTATCCATTCTGCCATTGTGCATTTTTTTTTAAGTGGAGCATTTAGGTCATTTACATTCAACATCAGTATTGAAATGTGAGGTACTGTTCTATTCATCATGCTGGTTTTTGCCTAAAGACCTTGTTATTTTGCCATTGTATTACTGTTTTATAGGTCTGGTGCAATTTATGCTTTAACGGGGTTCTATTTTGGTGTATTTTGAAGTTTTGTTTCAAGATTTAGGACTCCTTTAAGCATTTCTTGTAGTGCTGGCTCAGTAGTGGCAAATTCAGCATTTGTCGAAAAAGATTCTCTCTCTTTCATTTACGAAGCTCAGTTTTACTGGATACAAAATTATTGGCTGAGAATCATTTTGTGTCAAGTGGCTGAAAATGGGAATCCAATCCCTTCTGGATTCTGGCTTGCTGAGAAGTCTGCTGTTAATCTGATTGGTTTTCCTTTATAGGTTATCTGATGTTTTTGTCTCACAAGATTCTTTATTTCATCTTGACTTTAGATAGCCTGACAAATATGTGCCTAGGTGATCATCTTTTTGCAATAAATTTCCCAGGTGTTCTTTGAGCTTCTTGTATTTGGATGTCTAGATCTTTAGCAAGGCTAGCGAAGTTTTCCTCAATTATTCCCTCAAGTAAGTTTTCCAAACTTTTAGATTTCTCTTCTTTCATAGGAACAGCAATTATTCTTAGGTGAGGCCATTTAACATAATCCCAAATTTCTTCAAGGCTTAATTCATTTTTAAAAAATTATTTTTGTCTGATTCAGTTAATTCAAGAGCCTTGTCTTCAAGCTCTGAAGTTCTTTCTTCTACTTGTTCTAGTCTACTGTTGAAGTTTCCCATTGCATTTTATATGTCTCTAAGCGTGTCTTTCATTTCCAGAAGCTCTGATTGTTTTTTCTTTATATGTATTTCTCTGGAGAAGTTTTCATCCATATCCTGTATTGTTTTTTAAAATTTCTTTTTGCTGGTTTTTACTTCGAATAGCTTAATAATCAGGTTTCTGAATTCTTTATCTGGCAATTCAGAGATTTCTTCTTGGTTTGGATACATTACTAAGGAGCTGCTGTGATCTTTTGGGGGTTTTACAGAACCTGTTTTGTCGTATTACCAGAAATGTTTTTCTGGTTGTCATTTTGGTAGACTATTTCACTGGAGAGGTCTGAAACTCAAGGTCTGCTGTTCAGATTCTCTTGTCCCATGCAGCGATCCCTTGTGGTGCTCTCCCTTTCCCCTAGGGATGCGACTTCCTGACAGCCGGACTGCAGTGACTGTTACTGCTCTTCTGGGTCTAGCCACCCATTGGGGGTACCAGGCTCTAGTCTGGTGCTAGGGGATGTCTGCAATGAGTCCTGCAATATGATCCATCTTCGGGTCTCCAAGCTGTGGCTACCAGCACCTGCTCTGGTAGAGATGGCAGGGAAGCGAAGTAAACTCTGCAAGAGTCACTGGTTGTAGAAATGTTTAGTGTGCTGGCTCTCTTGAATGCTGCTTATGTTAGCAGTGAAGTTGTCATGTGGACACACTCAGGACCTCTGGTTACCCAGGATGTTGCAGCCAGTGCAATTAGGTATTGTCTTCTCCTTCCTGGGATCAGAGTTATTCTTTCATGAGTTGCTGTAATGGCCTGAGTTGACTGGCCTCCAGCCAGGAGGTGGTACTTTCAAGACAGCACCAGCTGCAGTAGTAGCAATGGGCTCTAAGCTTGACCTAAAATGCGCAAAGTAACTATTTTGGTTTCTTGGGCAATAGGCAGGGCCATAAAGCTCTAAAGAGTTTCTGTGTTTTGAGTTCAGCTACCAGGGCAGGTAGGGAGTTACCATCACGTGGCAGCAGGGTTAGGTGGGTCTGGGCTCAGACTCTTCTTGGGCAGGTCTTGCTGCATCTACTGTGGGAATTAGGGGGTGGGGGTGGTTTGTCAGGCCAACGTGTTTATGTTCCAGAGGGGATCTTGGCTGCTTCTGCTTTATCATATATTTCGCCAGGGTAGTGGGGGATATCCAGCAGCAAGAGGCCTCACCCAGCCACCATGCAGTTGGTGAGGCTAGTCTCACTCCCAGGGTGCACTGTTCAGACCTTGCCCCAGGCTGTGAGCTACCCCACTGAGAAAGCAAGCATGGCTTTTGACCTTACCCTTTCCCGTTTGCCTACCCCACTGGCAGAAGCTCCTGCTAGTCCACCCAAGAAAATTTGTGCCCAGCTGAAACCACTAAAATTTCACTCCTTTGCCCTGCGATCCCTCTCCAATTCCAATGGCTGCCTTTCCTGAGGGCCACTGTGAGATATAGTCAGGACTGGACTCAAGGTGGGGACTGGGAGTACATTCAAGGCACTTTCTGCTGCTACTTCTACTTTATATTTCACATAATTCCCTAAATCCATTTCATCTCTAGATAAGTTTAAATCCTTCTCCCATGATCTGGATTTTTAGATTTCCTCAGTGGGGATGTATGTTTGGAGGTAGGTTCTCCCCAACTCACACTTTGAGAACTCAGATTTTTGCCTGTTTTGCTGAATTTGCAGTGGTGTGCCACTTCTTTCAAAGGATCTTTGAATTCTTTTGGTTTTCCTGGTAAGTTCCTACAGTGGTTCTTGGAGCAAAAGATCACAGTGTCTCTATATGCTGTTCTGTCTGTCCATGTGGGAACTGCATGTTAGCCCTGTCTCTTATCTGCCATCTTCCCTATTTCCTGTTACCAGTTTTTTTGTTAACTTTCCAAAGATATTTTATTTGCGTATATTTACATATTTACTTCTTTGTATATATACATTTTTAACATAAATGGTAGAATATGGTACAACCACCGAGTACCTTGCTTGCCACTTGACAATTCATCATGATGGTCCTATTCCGTCAGTACATGAAACATCATGTGGATGTTAAAAGTGAAAATTACCAAGTGGCAGCACCATTTACTAATCAGGTTTTCAGACAATATTTAAAAATCTCTTTCTGAAGGCTTATTTTTGCCTTTTTCTTAAATTGCCTTCCCCAGCATTCTCTCAGTCTTCATGTAGGGTCCTTTAGCTGAATTAATTTGGCTTCAAGGGAGGCTCACTTGTATTACTGAAAATTATCACCCCAGACCCACATTCGCATGTGCTCTATATAGCTTCTTTGTGCTTCCCCCACCTACTTCTAATACTAGTTCCCCAAGTCACTGTATTTTGCCTGATAGCTGACCTCAGATTCATACCAGCATGCATATTCTCTCCTTAGACTATTTCTTCCCAAGGTGTCCCCATTTTGAAGTGGACAAGAATTTTATCCATACTTTATTTCCCCAGGATAGCAAATTATGTGGGCAGATCTGTGTTTCAGAGGTAAGACCAGTAGCTTTCTGATACATTCTGTGGATAACTATCCAGAAACATGCTATACATACATATACAAATTTCATCTGGCACTGAAAAACAAACAAAAAAAAAAGTAAAAAATGTACTTTCCTAAAGTCAGAGAGAATCAATGTGCAGTGGTAAATGTGAAATGGCTTCCCCCAGTACTTAGTTTTAGATTCCAAATTCTCGTTTGAGACTAGAAATATCCCAACTCTGTGTTCTCAGTTTAGGTGTCCTTGCTCTTAACTATAAGGAAATGGGTTTTCTGTGATTATGTAGGGTAAAACATAAATGCTAAAAGAAATCATATACTTTCTATATGCAGGTGTTAACATTATCTGAATGAATAACATGTTTAGGTATTTATATTCTCTAAGTCAACTTATAAGGCTGATTTTATGAGGCAGTTCATCTCTAACAATACTTCTGATCTTTCTAGTTGCATATGACTTTCAAACCTGGGATTGTAAGAGAAGTAGCACATGTGGACTAAGGCAGACTTCTTAGTCATGGTAGCCATTTTTGTCCCTTGGGAACTAACGCTGTGATTCCACACCTTATACCACCACTGGCCTTTTTGTGGGGTTATCCCTACAGTTCTGTGATTTGGCTATAACAGTAGACAGAAGGCTGGGTAGTAATGGCCAAACTAAGCATGAAGGCAACAGTTGCCAATCTGACCATTTTTAGGTGATCAGTAACAGTAATTTAATTCATCAAAGCAGTTACCAGCCATCATGTTCCATAACTGAAAGGCATGGTTCAGAGACTTCATTAAGTATTAACTTTTTCATCCCTCACACAGTCTTATAAGGTACATGCTATCATTATCTTCATTTTACAATAAGATAATTGAAATGCACAGATGTCAAATAATTTGTCCTCTTGGACATAGCTACTTTGTTGAAGAGCAGAGATTTGATCCCAAGTAATCTGTCTCCAGACTGTATACTCTTGAGTAATGTGATATTCTATGTTAAATCATTTAAAAGGTATCCAGACAGCAAAATCAAAGCTTATTAAAAAGGATGGTTGGAACTTTGAGTGGTTCAGCTTAAAATGAATTAGAGTAACAGAGCATTATTAACAAGAGCAAATAACTCTTCATAAGACTTTGTATAATATAAAGCAAACTTGAGTGAGGGTATGGGGCCACCTGCTCTGCCAGTTAGACAAATGCCAGATGCCACCCCAAGTCCATATAATTTATTCTGGTACACCTTCTAGAAAGACTACATACCTCTCTTGTTTTGGGGCAAAACGGCTCGGCCATTGGAATATGGCACACTCCTCTGGCACAAGAATGACTTCCATCATAGAAGGACTGTGGTCTCATAGTGGTCCTATGAAATTAAGCAAAAAAGGTTTTTGTTTGTTTTATTTTAAGGCCATCTTTCCATCTTCCAAGGGCTGGTGAGTCAGCTTTATCTAAGTCAATCTTTTGGTCTTTACTCCAGACTCAATTGCTCTGGATAAGCTGAAGACAATTTGTTTATAAAAGCTTCAGGGTGATATTCAGCTTTTTTGGCCCTGAGCTGGCGGCAACACACCGCACAACAAGAATTAGTGTCTGTGGTCTGGCAGCCGTGATGCAGTAACCACGGTGCGGTGGACTGCAGGTACAACTCAACTCTGGGCTCAGAACGGCAGGTAAAACACTTAGGAAGTCAATACGAAAATGTTTCATCATCACAGATGTGGAAAACCATATAGTGAACATATACATGTCACCATATACACATCACCCAGATTTCAACAGTTTCTGAAATTTTGTTGAACTTGCTTCCTCTGTTAGCTTTTTCACAGACACAAACCCCAGGCTTTGACTCAGAGCAGATGCAAATTTCCCCAATGTCTTAAAACAATTTTTTAAAACAGTTGTTTTATTGGTTTCAAACAAGGTACTTACCTTGCATTTAATTATCATATTTCTAAGAGTAATTCTTGCCTGTATCCCCAACTATATTTTTTAATGCCAGTGACCCACTGAAATAGCCACTTGTCCTGCTCCGTATTTAGGAATCTTTCTGTTTGCTGTCTTAGATTTTTTCTCTCCTAGCTGTAATTAATTCTAAAGTATCTTAGTTCAAGTTTTATGACAAAACAGTTTTGAATCCATGAGAGGCTAAAATTAATCTAGCACCAAGTCACCTAGAAATTTCTTGCTAGAAGTTTTCAGAACAAGCCACTTTCTCTATGCATTCAATTATTCCAAATTTGAACTGATGAATAACACAGGGAAGAGGGGACAGCACGGGAGATAATGGTCAAGGGAAGCCACCAGGGGCAGGTAGATAACATAATGTCCTCTTCCAGGGGTGGGAGATAGCACTGAGAAATAGTTTCACTGGCTCCGTTTATACAGCTGGCATGTCTACTCGCCGAAATTAACCTGTTACTTCCAGTCCACCACACACTAAACAGTGGCACTGAAGCCACCTCACTCTGAGATAAGGCTTCAGCGTTCTAGAGGAATGAAAACACCATCCAAGCTTCTCCCAACCCTGTCATATGTGCTTTAGGGGAAATGCGAAGTTAACCCCAAAGCAATTCCAGATGGAGTTGAAGAACAGGTCAAATGACTGTTTGAGCCTGTATAAACAGAGGCTTTTCTCTTTTTGAAAGATTAACCAATAAAACAATGCCACGTACTCAACTTCAGCTCTGGCTTTGTTTCAGCCTTTGATGAGTCAAGCATTAGCAACATCCCTACTTATAACTATGATATAAAATCAAAACAGGGCCACAAAAGCCTCCAGTGGCTATACTCCAACTAACTTCCACACCATAATGCCTGCATCTCATCTACCTCTGCCTATCTCCTGACTATCCCCACGCATCTGCCTTGGAACACCCCCCCCCACCACCTTTGCTTTGAACTTTTTAACCTTAAGAATAAGATGTACTTATGTTAAGCTTCATGCAACGTTAATATGCACATGATACTTATTAACTACAGTCTTAATTTCCTCTCACAGGTGGAACATTTTGCATTTTTCCTTCTCAACAAAGCTCCCCAACTACTAGCTATGTGACTTATACCAGATTGCCCTTTTTGACTCTTCATTTTCCAATAAGTAAACATAGTATTCACCCGTCTATTTTACAAGGGTGTTAGGAAGATTGTATCAACCAAGACGTCCAGATATCCCACTGCAGCTCACAATTGTGGGTCTGGGAAAGAGACAGAATTGGAGTCAGCACCAGATGGAGCCTCACAACCCTCAACCTTGTAAGAGGCAAGAAAAGAGGGTAGCCCTGGGGAAGAAGCAAGGCCTTAAAGTCGTTTTTGGGCTATACTATCAAGATGCTAGAAGGGAAGGTACAGATGAGAAACACCTCTTACAGTTTGCCCACCTGTTTGTGGTTCTCTGCATCAACTTAAGTGTCAATATATTCCGTATTAAAACGTTTAATGATCTAAACTTAAATTCCTACAAATAGCAACATACCTGCACAGTATAACATGATGAGGCACTGTTAATGCTGAATGAAATGCTGATCAAGAGCAATGGGATTTATAATCACAGTTGAGGACAGTGGATTATGCTCCCAAACGAAATTCTAGAATGAAATGTGTAAAATTTTAATAGCACCCCACCAGTCCTCTTTCTGAAGGTATCTATCAGAGAAATCAGAAGTTTTACAACTTAGCAAGAAGCCTGGAATAAGCCTGCTGGTCACACCCCACAAAGTGGGGACTGTTGCCCAATCGAGCCTGCCTGTTGCCTTCCAAGTTCCAGCCAAAACAGCTCTTCTATATTCGGAATCATATTTCTCCCTCATGCTGAGTTTTCTGAGTGATATGGAGAAAACACAGGAAATGTAGTTTTGCCCCTGGATTTGAATGAACTTTTGGGTGGTCTTGGGCAAATTACTCAGCTTCTTCAAGTTCTTTCTTCGTGAGGTATTAGCAACATCCCTACTGCTATGGTCTGAAGGTTTGTGTCCTCCCAAAATTCCTATGTTGAAATCCAAACTCCCAAGAGGTGATGGTATTAGGAGATGGAGCCTTTTGGAGGTGATTAAGCAGATTCTTCATGATTGGGATCAGAACCCTTATAAAAGAGACCGAAGAGAGCTAGGTCATCCTTCTACCACCATGTGAAGGTGCCATCTGTGAGAAAGTGGGTCCTCACCAGACACCAAATCTGCTGGCAACTTTTTTTGGACAGCCTCCAGAACTGAGAAATTTCTGTTGCTTAGAAGGTACTCAGTCTATGGTATTCCATTATATCAACCAGAACAGACTAAGACACACATGTACACCCTTGCTTAAATATAAAAACAAGGCTGCAAAAACCTCCAGTGGCTACCTCCCAATAGACTATGATATAATAACATGTCCATTTTAGATTTCAAATATGCACCCCCCCAAAGATGTCCATATGCTAACCCTTAGAACCTATGAATATTACTTTAGATAGCAAAGGGGAACTAACATAGCAAATGGAATTAAGGTTGCTAACAAGCTGATCTTAAAATGGAAAGGTTATTCTGGATTAACTAGGTAGATGGCATGTATTCACATGGGTCCTCACATGTGCAAGACGGAGGCAGAAGTCAATATCATCATGATGAGAGGTGAGGACTCCATTGCCACTGCTGGCTTTGTAGATGAATGAGAGCAATAAGCCAAGGAATGTGAGTGGCAAAGGGCAGGGAAATTGATTCTCCCCTAAGTCTCCAGAAAGGAATGCAGTCTTGCTGACAACTTTTTAAAATTCAGTGAGACCCACAATACACTCCTAACCTACAGAAATAAAAGATAAGTCCCCTTACTCTTGCTTTAACCAGTAAAGGCAAGGGGACTAATTTTTATCTGCCCATTAGCTTGGGATCCTACTGGAAAACATGGATTTCAGGAACTGACTGATCTACTGGTTTTACCACTCATTAGCTGTGTACCTCTGGGAAAGTCACTCTCATCTCTCTGCACCTCAGTTACATCAGTTTCCTTAAATTTAAGGGAGTAATCTCACTTACCTTATAAAGTCCCCGTCACGAACTGAATAAGACAACATGAAGCACGTACTTGGCACTAGTCACTATCATTTATGGAAAATATGCTTCTGGACGTTTCTTCTGCCAACCCAAAAGAATGACATTTTGATGGGTCTCAAGTCAAGGGTACCCAACAAATTGCTTGAGGCAGTCAAGCAGGGATATGTGATAAGAAAAGTCAGTAGACAAAAAAAAATGCCTATAGAAGAGTAAAGGAGACGAAATAATGTGTGTTGGCAAGAGAAATGAGTTCAAGACAGTCAAAGAGAGAACAGTGGCACCTTCAGACAAAGAAAAGGGGAAAAGCAGCCTAGAAATAGATTGACTAGTAGGTTGTTTCTTGAATCAAGATTCTTACATTGGCTTAAAGACAGCTGTTAGTTAATATCTTTCCTTTGAGGAAATGTGGTGTTGCAAACAAGCTGAGGACAAACACCCATCCCCCAGCAGAAGCAAACACAATCATCGACTTCTGCGGAGCTCTCAGAATATGGTCTGTATCCACAACAAGACCCAACATGCAGAATCCTGAGTCAATTAATTTACTGGCAGAGCAGAATAATGGCTGCTCATAAGGAAGATGGTTTAGGAGAAGTGAATCTACCCATCATTTAGAATATATCCCAAGAATCAAACAGCAGCATGAATGGGCAGTTCTGTCAGAAAAATTCTGACAGAAACAACATCAGACTAAGAAGCAGAACAAGTCTGTCTTAATAACCAGAAGGAAGTCAGGCTCACACAGGTAATTCTAGCACTTTCGGAGGCCAATGTGGGTGGATCCTTTGAGTTTAGACATTCAAGACCAGCCTGGGTAACAGCAAAATCCTGTCTCTACAAAAACATATGAAAAATTAGTTGAGTGTAGTGTCACACGTTTGTAGTCCCAGCTACTTGGGAGGCTTAGGTGTCAAGATCACCTGAGCCCGGGAGGTCAAGGCTGCAGTGAGCTGTAATGCCAGTGTATTCCAGTTTGGGTAACATAGTGAGATCTTGTCTCAAAAAAAAAAAAAAAGAAGAAAGTGAAAAGTTATGAATTTAGATCAACATCATTAAGATCCTCCTACTGCTCTGATATCAAGAGTGCTCCTAAATGCTCATGGTGGCATAAAAAAGGAAAAAAACCAGTGGATGTTTATATCCCAGCCAGGTAAGGCTGCTTAATAAACAGGGACCATAGTTTTCCCTTATTTTCTATTATATTTAATAAGATCATGCTAAACAGTGTACAAGAATAAAAATTCTAGCTCTACATAGGTGGTGACAATACTCTCTTTGGGCTTCAGTTTTCTCACCTTTTGTAAAAGGGAAGGATAAGGTAGATAGAAGATGTCTGCTA